ATATATATATATTTTTCCGGTTAACTAACTCTGATTACAGTGCTCTTGAAAAAGCAGTTGATGTGTTCAGAGATCGTAAATATACACCAGATCGTTCAGAAAATATTGGTACTGCACTGATTCTGTTTAGCGATGGAGGGTTTGTAATTTATTACCAAAATAAAAAAATTATGCTTTTAATTTGATCTAAAAATTTATTGATCAAATTAACACAATCACACAAATATTTTTCTTTTTTAAAGTTTAAAAAATAAAATTTTTTTGTACAAAAAAAGAAAAAAAAAACAATTTTTTCATAAAAATATTTATTTTTAAAATTAAATGGTTAATGAAATTCAGTGTTTCATACGGTCAACAACCATATTCAATAGCAGAACGTTTACGTGCTTCTGGAACAACAATAATTGCTGTTGTCGTTCAGGGTTCAGATCCTTATGATGACGCTGATCATCAAGTATGTGCTGCCAAAATGTTATCAAACTGATTCAACTCTAATAATTAATATATTACTATTTTTTAATGTATAAAAAAAAAAAACGACTGTGACTTGTTAAGGAGAAAAAACAAGGTTATTTGATTGCAAATATTAACAACAACGATGTTTTAGAGTTTACTAAATATAACTGGTGGCAATGAAAGATACCTATTTGAAGCTCTTAATAATAAAGATTATACAGTGGATTTGGCAGAAAATCTTACTGATGCTATACCTTGTCCAAATAATCCTACACAAGTCACTGTTCCAACGTCGACAACAGGAACTTTACCAGATTCATATCGTAAGCAGCTACAAACTAACTGCATTGTTCTTAATTTTTGATGATTATTTAGTTTTTCTTCTTTTTTTTTGCGATTAAACATTTTTGTTTTTGTATTTATTACCTATTTTACAGATTGCAATCCATTTATATTTGTTATTGAAACAACTGAATTATTGCAAAAATCATTTTCTAAGGTAAACTGTTCAGTTTATAAATTATTTAAATACAATTTAAAAAAGTGTAAAAAACTTGTTGTATTATGAAAATTTTTAACTACGTAATTTTTGCTAAAATTATTATTTATTCCTATATTTAAATACTGATGAGTCATGAAGTAAAAGATAGGAATTTTGAAAAAAATTTAAATTAAATTTTGCATGATGCAGTAAAACTGATGAAATGTTAAAGAACTACTTTTTTTTCTTTGGTAAATCATATATAAAAATAATATCAGTTCAGATGTTTAATGCTGCCAAAAAAATTGCTGAACTTTTCGACAGCTATCACCTGAATACAACATTTTTGTTGGTAACATATTCATCGCCAGAAAAAACTGCATTACACAACGATAACGGTCCTGAAACACTATCGAAATTTGCGGAACGAATAGATAATTTAATGAATAATACTGACTTGCTGTTACCATATTTCGATGGGAGTACCTATTTGAGCAGGTAAAATATAAATTAAGAATTGAAGAAAAAAAAAGCAGAAGAAATTTTCTAATATTTTAACTTATTCAAATAAAAAAAATTTTTTTGAAGTAATCAAAAGCTTAAAGAACTTATTGCCATCGTTTTCTTGTTGATAAATTTTTTTTTTTTTGGTCGAATTATTACAAAAGAACATAAATTTTTAATCAGTAATAACTGTTATAAAAAGCTATAAAACTGTGTTATCTTTAAGAGGAGGAAAAAAAAGCAACTTTTGTTTGTTGGCTTACAATAAAAACAGTAACTTTATTGCAGACGTAATAACACTTTTGAATGCAAAAGTTTGACAGCGAAGTAACAACTAATTATGCTAATTTTTTAGTGGTATTAAGTTTGCCCAAAAAGCAATAGATGTTTTTAAAAACGATCCTACATATGCTGGATCACCGTATGTAATCTTTATGGGAGAAGCTGATAAAGGGTAGGAGTATTGACCTATGTGCATCAAAATTGTTTTACTATGTATTTATTCATTCACAATTATTGTGATTAATTTGTAAAAAAGAAAAAAAGAAAACAATAAATAATGATCATAATGTTTTTTTTTTAGCGAAATATCTGATAAAGACCAAGTACCAAACGAAGCAAGAAAAGTAAGCTAAGCTTAATAAATTTTAAACAGTGAAATAAATTTAGCTTTAGACTTATCTTTTAAAACAGCTTTGCTATCATTTGTTATCACTTAAACTAAATACAGCCACAACCTAAAAAGTTTTTTCATTCACTATTTTTCAGCTACATCAATTGACACCATACGTTTTTATGGTCGATCTCACTAGTACTAAAAACAGTGATCAAGAACTTTTAAAGAATGTTGTCTCAAAAGATTCTTATATAATCGGAGAACCTCGAAGGTCTGCAACTGAGGATTCTATCAGCAAAAATACAATTAGAAAAGTATTTGGTTTATGGACTGATACCGTTTGTGCTCCACCGAAAATTGGTTTGTATTATTCCTTTTTTTTTTTACTTTTTTTCTTCGCTGTAGATTGTTGTTCTCATAATATATTTATTGTTTAAAAATAACATTTATTTCATCCTCTTTGTTTCTTTACAACTGAAAGAAATGCAAAGAAGATGACGAAGTAAAATTAATAAAAAAGAAATCTATTGAACCAAAGTCAATAATTCTATAAGCTTTACCAGTTATGTGGTAGACCGTCGATGCAGTAATACGACAGATTAGGTGTGACAGAAAACTGAAAAGAAGTTTTAAGTTTTTATATCCTGTGCTACACATGTAGATCTTATTATGACATCTTGCCTCTCTATTTAGGGAAAATTCTTTGAAGAATTCAACATCCAAAGGTGTAAAAAATTTAAAAATTTACTTCATTACGCTTTATCAACTATAAAAGTAAAAAAGTAGTCGGAGCACTAAAGTATCAAGCTGTACTACTGAAAAGTCATAAACGAAAATGGACTGAATACTGTGAAGGAAAGAAAAAGTTGAGTGTAAGTTGAGTGCAGAATTTCAGCAACATAGCCTTGCTTCAAAACAAATGATACTAAATAACTGAAGAACAGATTGGTACAGCAAATTTTAAAACTAATTAGAAGTTAAGAAAAAAAAATAGTGTATTCAAGTAGCTGTGTATTTTTAGGTTCTTGTCTCACCAATCATGCGGCTGACGTCACCGTTGTCATTCATTGTACCAGAAATGAAACTCTTCAAAATGAGGTCTCTTTTTTAAAACCAATAACAACAAAAGTTTTTAAATTTTTTCGAATTTTCATATATCAACTAACAATGATTACACAACTGATAGTTTCCAAAAAAGAAAATTTTTTTTTATTTTTACTTTGAAAGTACAAAAATTTTTTTAGTTCCAGTGCATATAAAAAATAAAGTTTCTCCAGGATGTCAACCTGATACAAAAGTAGAAGGTTCTGGCGAACATTTTCTGTTTATATGCTGTTACTACTTTGAGTCAACATTTACATTCCTCTTCTGCCTCTTCCTTTCCCTGTTCCAATTAAAGAAAACTTTAATCTATGAACAATTTGATATTAACGTTTCAAAGAATAAGCATAAACACAATTAGACTAATACTTGCGATAATCAACTTATATTACTACATATTAATACTGCTTAGATCAGCAATCTAGATCAATTTAGATTAATAATCTAGCTGCTACATTTGTGTCTGCAATGAATATGTTCGACGATCAGTTTCATATTGGTGTTGTCACATATGAACTTCAAGAAGCAATAGCCAAAGACGTCGGTGTTTACAAACTCGATGAATTAAAACACGATATTAAGAAAATTCGTTGTTCACGGTTTGGTGACTCTATCTCTGGGTAATTCTTGGCTTATTGTTGTTATCTTATCCAAAATCTATGCTATTTATCTTTTCTACAAAAAAGTGGAAAGAAAGGAGCAGACTATTAAACCTAATGCGATGTTTTTCGACTGCATTCTAAAGTCGGACTTTTAAAAACGATTTTAATATTGCAATCTTAAAAAAATTTATACTTTGCTAAAGTCAATGACAAATCAGTATAATAAAAAGCATTTATAATAGCCAATTTTTAGAGCTTTTGAATACATCTATAACGCTTCTCACGCTTACAACAGCTATTCGCAAAAAAAACGGAGAAGATTTGCAAATCAAGTTGTTCTGTACATAACAGATAGTCCAAAGTGAATACACATTTTTCAATTTATATAAAATTGTAATATCACGTAAAAAACTGTAATTTCTTCTTTTTTACATATTTTCAAAAATCTTAGATTGAAACTGAAACAGAACATAAGTTTAGCAATATTGCGGCATCTGATGTGAAAATAGCACAAGATTTACTTAACAAGTGGAAAGCTGAAGATTGTCGAGGAGCACCAATAGTTCGTTTGATTAGCATTAATTTGAATGAATTCACAGTACCAACAGTGGTGCAGAATTTCTTTGGTGGTTTGGTAAGCATATTATATGCTCATTTTTAAACAGTTCAAGTTTACTACTTAATTTTTTACCTAAAGAACAAAACTATCAAATAATTTTTACCAAAAGTTTTTCGACTAAAACATTCAGCTTTTTACATCAACTTTATAAGTTTACACTTGTTTTAAAAAAAAGATTTCTTTTAGAAAGAAATGCAGCTCGGAAATTTTGAATCTGCAGAACAAGCAGACCAGACCACTTATACTTCTGTACACTTTGTCAGAAATGTTGTCGACACAATTTGTAGATGGACAGATGACGATCGAGCAGGTTAACACATGTTACTTCCAGATCTTATTAAAACTGAAAATGACTTCTCCTATTAGGAAAGATTTTTTGCTCAGATTTTCAACTGTCTATTCTTCTCTTTTTCTTTCCAATCCTCAAATGTTTTTGACGAGACGCATTGAAGGTATTTAAAACGATAACGATTTAGCAAAATAAACCAGTAAACAATTTTCTTCTCAATTTTTTATATTAGTTAACCGAAGAAAAATAGTCGAAACTGCAGAAAGACGTGCTTTTTTACAGCTTTTTAAATTTTTACATTATACTTAGCTCAGCAAACTGCCGTGTCACTGTACAGTGAACTGTTCGTTTTGTTACTGAGTTTTATTTATTATGCTAAAAATCTGTGCTTTATTTTTAAACCATTAAGTTTGTTTTTTACCTTCTACTCCGGTTTTTCAACTGAATGCGTAGCACAGCGAATAGGAAGTCCAACTCAGATCAGAAATAATTGAAAAATAGTCTCTTAAAGAATCATTATACTTTTGTAAAGGTAAAAGATAAAAAGTTACAAACAAAATTTTACTAAGAAAGAGTGCAATCAAAAATTGATGATACAGAGAGCAAAAAAATCTTGCAACAAACAGATTTATTAAAAAATTTGTGTATACCATTTTTGAGGTAATAATTTTTCTTCTTAACTTTTTATTCAAGTTCCTCTTTTATCAATAATAGTCTAATTTTCAAGACAAATAGAAAATCGTCGTTAATTGATACAGATAAACTATTTTCAGAATGTTCCGACTGCTGCGACTGTTCAACTGGTGTGAGTACCGAAGAGTGCAGACAGTCAGCCAGTAAAAAGTCAAAATTTTTGAGCCTTATCAGATCGTCATCTGTTGAAGTTTATTAGAAATAGCTGAAACAGTAAACCCTGGTACTGTAGCTCATTACTTATTGCCTAAGTACGAAAGCTTTACAAAAAAAATTGTAGAATTTTGTAGAACTTTTTTTAGTCTCAAATCTTTGTCATTACTTTCAGCTGTATCAAGCGACAGTGACACGTAATCTCAAAAAGCTAAATTGCTGACATTATTTTCTGTATGATGAGCTTGGAGAGCACCATAGTATACAGCAGAATGATTCTTCAAAAATTCAGGTAAATCATAGGGTGTTGCATAATCAGCAGAAAGTATATGACAAAAGAAGTGACTTGTATGTACAAAAAACCTTATGGTTGACCTGCAAAAAGTTAGAATAAGAAGGTTTTGAAAACCTTGGCTTGACTAGCATAACTAATCAAATCTCTGTAACTTAATTACGTACATGCGTCTATTAATGTCTTTTTCCTTGCCAGTTATTATGTCTTGACTTGTTGCTTAACAACAATTGGGTTTAGCACAATTATCTTAACTGTTATATGCAGAACACTCATATCATTTGTTTTGAACTGATAATTTGTTCGTACATTATAATTTCAAAAACCTTATTCAGGATGTACCTAATAAACAACGTTACATAAAAATATTGAAAATGCATACATTGAACAGATTCCTTCGTACAGATGGGTTTTGCCTGTACCGCTTTAAATGATTGCAGCTTTTGAAATAGCGCAACCTTGAAGAGTCATTTACAGAAGCCATAATCTGCAGTTTTTATCGCAAGTGCAACTTTTAGAGAAGTCGAAACTACCAAATCAGCAGCTCACTGTTTGGTGTTTAGAGATTGACTGGAATATAGAATGAATAAAGCATTGATTGCTCTAAAGTATTTATATATTGATGCGCAGTAACACTAAGAATTGCTAAGCAGTAATAATAATGCTGCATGAAATGCTGAACTCAGAGTTCATTAGCAAACAGCCACTGCTTATCACTAAAATTTGGTTAAGAAGTAAAAAAAGAAAGAAGAAAAACAAATGGTTAGACGATCGAACGTCTAAACAGTCGAACTTTTAGTTTTATATCTTAATTCTAACCACAGATACCATTTTATTTTCATTTTTAAAACCCTGTTTCAAAAGCATTAATCAGCTACAGTGTGTCGATGATTAATGCCTAAAATATTACTACATTCAGACTTAAACTTCTACGAACATTGCTCTACAGTGTACTTAACCAAAAAATCTTCTTCCAACATTGAAAGGTTATAATTTGTTGAACGGTAGGCGTCAGTTGCAGATGTACACCTAATACCGTTCTCACAACTCCACTATTAACTTTGTCAAAATTTAGTAGTTTTAAAAAATCTAAAAAAACCAAAAATTTGAGCGCTACTTTATCATTACAACTCACTAATTTTTTATTACTTTTAATTGTAAACCATCTTGAAGTGCCGGCCGTTTTTGGGTTTCAGCTTCTTAGTTGCTCAAAACGTTTTATGCGTATCAATTGCGGTAACTGCTGCGGCGAAGGTACTAACAACAGCTAGCGTCGTTGCTATGGTGATCCGGTCTAAGTCCATCGATGAGGATAATTTTAAGCAATCTTTCAGATTTATTTTTTCCACACTATTCTTCTGACTAAATAAACAATTGTCACACTTGAAAATCAGCTAAAAATTATGATGTTCCCTGATACTGGCTCTTTAATGGTTTTTATTCGTCTCTTTATTGATTTACGACCATCAAATGAACGCTAAAAACAGCAAATGTTCGAGAATAAAGTAACTTGATTTTTATGTGAAATAAATGAGTTTTTTTTATTGTGGAGTTTTGGAGTGATAAGGCACAGGACAGTTTCTTCCGAATACGCGCTACTGCTAAAATCTAGCAAAGTTGCCAAAAATGGTGAACAGAAGAACCTTGAAAAAGTACGAATAGTATAGTAGACCACTACCGCTCAGTGTTCATTATTTTTTAATTTTCATTTTTATCTACATGCCGTTACCACGATTTTCCCAGAATAACGTAAATCCCCTTTTTAAGAACAGTCAGCGCGAACAGTAGATGTTGAAATGTAGTCAAGTTTTTGTTTCTAAAACCATCGGCATCTGTATGAATACAGTTGTTAACCTGTTAGTGATTCTAAACTATTGTGTCAGCGTCTACATAGGGAGACTAAAATCTTCTGAAATTCTGATGAGGTTTTCTTCATCACTGTCGTTTCCAAAATACCGTGCTTTTCAGCTTTAGCATCTGAAATCTATAGATAAGTATATGAAAAATTTATTAGGTACTGGCAGGCGGCAATGGCGAATGATCCTTACAAATCGGTAAATCAAACAGAAGAGTTTTTAAAAGACGATTCAGGTGATCCAGGTGGAAGCGAAAGATCTTCAGTTCCACGGTAATTCGACATCAACTAATACTGAAATTACCAAATTCAAAAAGAAAATTAGCCTACTACTTTCCAACAGCTCGTTAACGGCAGTAAAAGAAAAAATTTTGACACAAAACACGGAAAACTTTTAGCCTTTAACAATTTTCGTTGAAAAGCCTTAACTTTTAGCCTTTGAAACTTTTCTTCAAACTTTTTGTTAAAGCACTAACATTGTATTCAGAGAAGTACCCAAAAGTGCGGGAAACAAAAAATTAGCTCTATCGGTGTTCAACGGAAAAAATTATTTATTACACTTCTACTTCATCCGTCGTGACTTCAACGCCTGTAAAGCATTAATCAAGGCTGGTAGTTTCTTTCTCCCCACATTATTTCTTTGAAAAGTTTCAATCATTCATTGATTATAGTAGAAGAAAAGAAAAGCTGCTTGTAAAAAAGCATAAACTTTTTGCATAGACTTATCTTTTAATTGCATTTAATGGTGTAAAATTACTGCCGATAATAAAACTAGTGGAACGATGAGTTTAGGAATCTTTGGATGAATGTAAGCAACTTTGCGATTATCCTATGTATATACGCGGGAAAATTGCTCAAATTGAAGGCGAACTTGATAAGGCTCTTTACTGGTTAGTTATGTTATATTACACTATACCCTGATTTATTTGTAAGTGGTGCTGAATTTATGAATTTTTTTTTTTGAGTCATTTTATTGAAACACATAAGAGTACTGATGATCTGTGGTATGCTGAAAGGAAGCCGGTACTTTACTAAGCTGCCAAATTACAGCATAGTCATTTCATTTAAAATTTTATTTCGTTTTCGATAACTTGATTAGATGAAACAGTTTTTTTAACTTAAAAACTTTTTTATCAGTAATCTGTTAAACTTTTGCAGGTTTGAAAATGCATTAGCATTAAGCCCACAAAATGCTATATACCTAAGTAGGATTGGACAAGTCAATTTTTTGCTCGGAAATCACGAAAAAGCTGCAGAAATTTTGCTGAAATCAGTTGAAAAAGATTCCACACGTACAGTAAAATCATTTATTGATTTCATTTTGCACCTTTAAATATAATTGTGTATAATTAATAGTACATTTTTCTGATGGATGCGAAAGATTTCCCTAAAATCGAATCTTAGGTGGTCTTCAGAATCCTCATTTCATAACCACACTAAAAACTGCTAGCTATTTTCGACCGTCTGTAAAGACATTACAAAACCTATTATTGTTACTCATTTATTTTGAATTCCTATATAAATTTAGAAACGTTTATTAACATAGAAGTAACGGCATAATTAGCTATAAAAGTATTAACAAATGACTGTTTTAACTGATTGATAGATTCATTCATTTAAGCAACCGTACTACTGGCGTGCGTTGGCTTTGTATTACTCGGAACGTAATGACGAGTCAATTAAAAAGGTAAAACTTGAATAAGTTTTTAGTTCCCACTAAACAACTGTACTGAACAACCTGTTGCCATCGCCTCAATCACCATTATCCAAATACAATTTTTTTTTGACCATCTCGACCACTACACGTGTACAGATGTTTGCGGCATTAATTTGCAGGCTCAAGAATGTCTAACTTCATTGAACAATTTAAATCAGTCACCTGAAGTACTCAAATTCATGGCTGAACTGTTTCAGAAAAAAAAAGATTTCAGCAGTGCTGCTCGCGCTTACGAGCAAGTGATTAAGGTGATAAAAGTATTTAATACTGTCTAAAATTTTTTCACGTCTTTTAGAGTAACTGCAATGTGTTTAATGACATTGGTGATGAACAAAAATTTCAGTTGGAACCAGACAATGTTGAAGCCTTAACAAATCTTGGGCTTTTGTATTATCAGGAAGGCAAAGAAAATAATGCCTTTGAAATGTTTGGACGAGCATTGAGCTACGACCCGACAGATGGAAATGCCATTTTAGCTGCTGGTTCAATTATACAAACTAACGGAGACTTTGACGTAGCTTTATCCAAATACCGGTAAGTTACTTTCCAAAACAGATCATCACCTATCCCGTTAAATATGTAGAGTTGCAGCTGAACGCTGTGATTACAATGGCTCACTGTGGAACAATATCGGAATGTGCTTCTTTGGAAAAGGTAAACAAGTGGCAGCAATCAGCTGTTTAAAAAAGGTAATAATCATTGACCATAACAGATCTGATCAGTAGACGATCTTCAGTGAAAAAAACATTTTAAAAATTTGACATAGATATCCATGAAAATTAATTCCAAATTTCTTCTGTCCCTTCAATTAAACAACTGTAAAGTTGTCGTGTAGGGAGGCAACTAATACGGTAATTCAATGAACTCAGTACCGGACAGTATTTTGGAAAACTATCTTTCTGATATTAGTCATGTACCATTAAGCCAACTCTTAACTTTAACAGCTATTTAATAAATGTAAAAAGCAATTTGATTCCCAGGCTTACTACTTGTGCCCTCTCGACTGGAAAATTAGCTATAACTTAGGTTTGGTACATCAATCGATCAAGCAGTATGTTTCGGCATACCACTTTTTTTCTGCTGCTGTCAACTTGAATCCAACCTACGGAATGGGCTATGCTGCTCTGGCCGGTAGAAATAATGCATAATTGCGTTTATGTAATCACAAAGCGCTAAAAGTTTAGAAGCGAAATTCAGATCTTTCTTTGATTGTGGTCAAATTTTTTTAATTTGGCGGTAGAACTAACTAAAATGGGCATCAAAAATTTCATATTTAAATGAAACGTTAACGTGTCATAATGCGAAAAGAATCAGCCAAAGTTTCCAATACTAAAATATTTCAAGAGACCACAATACAATGGATAAAGTTGCTTTATTTGACGTTTATTTCAGCTGTGCTAAGCCATCTGGGCGATCAAGCAAACGCTCGAAAAGCATATGAAAAAGCTATCCAATTAGATGCAGAAAATCCGCAAATCTTCTACAATTACGCAATCTTTGAAATGAAACAAAAGAATGTGGAAAACGCCATCAAATTGGCAAAAATGTGTGAAACTGCACTTGCTTCGTCCCATCCCCATTATAAGGTTTGTAAATTTTCTGTACAAAACGTAAAAACAGTACACTGGTGTTCCAAACAAAATATCTTATGTAACCTTAAAATTGCGTAAATCTTCAAATTCTTTATAGGAACTCAAGATTGGACTAAGTGACTTGGCTGGTTTGTTGAACAACACACCGACGTTAGAGACGAACGGAGAGGAGTCATATGTCTGAATGACCAGAAGGACCGCTGATTCCTATAACGACTAAATAACCAGAAATTTCTGAAATGTATTATACAAATCCGATGGCAATCACTGTAAAAGTATGATTCTGATACAATATAGTAAAATAAATTTTTAACTAATATTTACCATAGAAGAACGAAAATTATCACCAGCGGGGCAAAACGCGAGAAACTTTATTTTCATAAATAACTGGACGTTATGAGGTAACTTTCGTGATGAAAGAAATTTGGATCTGGCTTACACAAACATCATCAAAATTTGCATCTACTTCTGTAACAAACTAAACGTATCGCCAGTCACAGCAGCATCCACACATGTTCAAACCGTTTTAAAGTTGCAAATATAGGAACCCTTCAGCTCAAGACCTTATAACTCAACCATCTCAAATGCTTTTTCAAATAATCTACTCACCAGTTACTGAAATGAAAGTGTTAAAACTAATAATCCCAACAACGTAGACGTTATATTAGAAACTTGGTCAAAAAACTACTCAGAAAACCCTTCAAATTCCAATCCTGCAGAACAAGGCCCAGATGACAACTTAATCCCAACTGCAAAAAATTTTGCAGCAAAATAAGCAATGCCTATTTCAATCGTCAAGAAACAAAACCAATAAGAAGTTTAGTTGAGGTTTTATTAAAGCAAAAAAGTATTAATTGTGCTCCATGTTACAAACACACACGAATTAAGCATAATCCAAGTCAACAAACAGTCAGTTCATAATAATGCATCACTTACAATTCAAATATGTTATTACGCCAAAAGTAGGAGAACAGGAGAAAATCTCGCAAAGTAATGCCTTTCCTCCACTAAAAAATTGTTGATTCCCCCCTCCCCCCTCTAAAAAGTGAAATAAAATAGAAAATTAAAGTAAAAAACACATAAATAACAAAATAACAAAACAAAAATTAACAGAAAAATTGGTGTCGCGCTTTCACAAATACTGCCGCTCCAATGAATTACAAAAGTACTGAACAGTTTCCAAAAAAACTGACACGTATCTGTCTAATAAAGAGTGATAAAAACAACCAAATCACTATGCAAATAAAACAAATGAATACCCAGAAAGATTTGGCACAGGCACTTGGTATTATTAATAATTATCAAAGACACAACAACAAAACGTCAATTTTGTCAGCTTATCACGAGAATCAACAACGATGAAAAACTAACATTTAAACTTCATTTTAGCACTTTTTTATTTCCGCACCTAAACAGATTCAAAATCTTAAAAAATCCTGACACGTCTTAAGCACAAGAATCTGCTGCCATTAATTAAATCCTAAATGGCAAAATGAGGTAGCACAATCACAAAAGAAGAGGTTTAATAGCTTTCATATTTGAGGATAGAATAACAGAAGCCGCCAAAAAAGCTTCTTCCCATTGGTACTAAAAGCTAGATAAAAGGTTAAAGAAATCACTAAACCGAAAATTATGTAAGGTAGCTAAATGCCAAAAATAAAAATTACTTAAATTCTCCTATATTCCTAGAACAAAAATTTTTTGCGACCTGATAAGATTAAAGTTCCTGCAAGAGTCTCAAAACAAATAAATTAAAAAAATTCCAATTTAATTGGGATGGCAACTCGCCAAAAAATGCACCTATATGCAAAGTAAAAAGAAATTAAGAGGAAAAATCAGGAATTTTTAAAATCAACTTAACTCCCACGTCCAAACAGGAAACAGATTTTACAAGCTTAAGTGAAGAAAGTAATTAAGATCCGTCACTTTCCCTTCAATATACAAACAAGTGAGATTAAAAATATGGACCAGCCTTCAGTGAAAGTCGTTTTCAACAAAAACACTAGTTACAGACAAGTTAGATATATTAGAAAAATTAACTTGGTTGTTGCTGTAAACAGCTTTTGATCCTTTCCACGACGTCACGTTTACAAGCTTTCTGCTTCTTAACGTGTCTTAAAAAATCTTCGAACATAGGCTTCCCATGAACAGGAATGGTATAAAAAGCATCTCTAGCTGTTCTTATTAGCTGAACTACCTGAAAGTTTCCAGATAAATGCGAGATAACCAAATTGAATATAAAAACTTCATTACGAGAACAGTGTTATTAAAATGATGCAGAATAAAAAAACTGTATAAGAATACAATACTGGCACTAAACAAGGATAAAATGGAAATGAACAGACTTCTTCAGTGTCTGAAGGAACAAATCGTGGATGGCTGAGTTTTGAGCTAGCCGCAGCATAAAACATTTCAACACAGTGCTGCATCAAGTCGGCAGTAGGTGGGTCATAGCCATTCTGCACCATTATAATACGTACGTCCTGAAAAATAGTCACCGAAATAACTCAGAATATAACATCTAAATAGAAGATTGAACGAAGGTTGTATAAACTACTTCAAATCGTAACATTTTTAATTAAAGCTTACTTTAGGAGCAGGGTTATATTTGAGAGGTGTTGAGTATTGTGACCTCATGAACGGAAAAAACGAGAAGGGGTGGTAACCAACTTGTGATGGCATGCTTTTGAATACCTAAAAGCGTACGTTTAGTGCAAGAAATAAAAACCGCCTTAAAAAAACTGGAGGGTTGAACCTAGAGAAGCAACCACGTTTAATAATATATGGACAAGAAAAGCTCATGAAAAAAGGTACCGAACAATTTTAACAGAGTACTTAACAAAAATTAAAATGAATTATAACCTCTCGAGACTCCAGTACTAGTTTGAAAAGTATGAAAGGAGAAGCAACAGCACGCGCAGCCACTTCACAAAAGCTTTGTACGAAGACACCACCTAACTTCGCAGCTATTGAAAACAACCACTGAACGTCATCAGCATAAGCAGGGTTCTAAATTGAAAAAGCTGGGAAAAATAAACAAATGGAAAAAACAACGGAATTAAAAACCTTAGTCAGAATCAGACTATTAAAAAATTGATCTTATAAACACAGAGAAAAAAACAATTTCTCAATTTGTAAGTTAAACGAAAGCAAAAATACAAATAAAAACGCCAACAGACCTGTGAAAACTTGGCATAACCTCTGGTGTCATCATGATTACGATTTCCCATAGTTTCCATAGCTTTCATTCCAACTCTATGAGCATGAACCAGCTTTGCCATCCGTGGATCACCATTGAAAATAGTGGATGGATTGACCTGTGACGTTTGTCCGTAATAGGCAGGATATATAATTCCTGGGTTTCCAATCTGACTTGATAATGGATTAGGTGTTATTACTGTATTGGGAGTAGGTTGATGTTGTCTCGTCACTAGCGGATTCTAAACAACGAGTAGAAAAAAAATAAGAAACGATTTAAAAACCTTATGAAAATGACTTAAGAACGTACTCATAAACAATAAAATTAAAGTATTTTATTCGCAAAAAAAGAAGACGGCGGATAGTAGGCTGCTTCAAAAGCAGAACTTCGTTTGGAAAAATGTTTTAAAGAATACCGGAGGAACATGTTCAGGTATAGTTGTAACCTGCCCGTAATGTTGCCCACTTGACGTCATATGAGATGGCACTCCACGACGACACACCGGAATCTGAACAGGATTCAGGTTTGGAGCTGAATGACTCATATGCAGAACTCGAGCAGAATGAGCTACTGGTTGAGACTGCGGATACCCAGTAACAACCTGATGCTGAACAGGATTGAATATTACTGGTTGTTGAGCGGCATTGACTGGGATGGGCTGCGCAAGAGTGCGTGGGACAGACTGTTGGCCAGAATGACGCCCATTATGTTGTGCCATTGAACGAACTACTGATTGCTGGACAACACTCCCTTGTCTGAAATTTAATGAGTGAAGAAATACACGTTATTTATCGAGTCCAAGAAACAAAATAATTTATAACAGATAAGTGTTCAACAAAAACTTACCGCAAACCACAAGGTACAATTATCTGAGGCTGAACAGGAGAACCGGAAGCCAAAACAACAGCAGGTCGCGTAGCGCTATGAGAGTGATGTGGCGGTAGTTGGTAGAACTGAGGTTGAGGATACAGTGGTTGTTGACGAGGATGGTACATAGGCACTTGAATAGGTGGAGTGTTGTTTACGTAAGGAGAAAAAGCCTTAAATAATATAAGTTTTACGTATAATGTACCCACACTGAAAAAACTGGCAAAAAAGCACTGTTAATCTCAGCTACTCATGTGTTCTTTTATTACCTGTGATTTTTGTATGCGAACATTATTACTCGAAGGCGGATTAGAAGGTAAAGAGCCTTGAGACACAGAAACAGAAGTAGCTGGAGGGTTCGAAGTACACTGCCTGGATGTTGAAGAGTCGTAATCACAAAACATGTCGTACCACAAATGTGCAACTTTAAATAAAACTTCAGGGTAAACCCCATCCTTTTCAGCAGCCTTAAAAACCCCAACAATTAAATTAAAAAATATAAACAACGTTAATAACAGTGTTAAGATTATAGATAGCTGCGTACTTGTTCTACAGCATGACATGCTCTTTCAAGCATTTCATTACTTTGTTCTTTACACTGATGTAAAGCTTTCTGGCTCTCTGTTGCCGTAAGTGCATACGCTTTTGGAAGAACGCTTAAAGCAAGCTTCGCGGCACACTCAACCATACCTGGATCGCGGCTCTGACTCGCCTAAAACGGTAGCTAAAGACCATTCAAATTTCCGCAAGAAATATGTGGCATTCAAGCTGAGAAGAAACAAAACAGTGCGCGAGCGAAACTTTTAAACACATAAAATTCAGTTTGCGTTGCCCTACCGATTCCTGTCAATTACCTTATCAGCTAAGTCCGCAGCTTCCGTAGGAGTTAAATGGGACTCCCAAACGCGCTCCACAATACGAATAGCTGGGCAGCCTGAAATGTGAATATTGTAATTTACACTCCATAGACAAGTAAACATATACCCACAAAAATTAACCTATTTCGATAGCCTGACCGTTAATCCAGCTCACATTTGTACTATACGTGCGAGTCTGCCAACTGGGAGAAACCAAATTGCTCAGTCCCAATGCATACAAGCCAATTAAAAAGGAACAAATATGCAATTGGCGATGAGGTCCTGAAGTGTACCAAACAAATAAGATGATTTCGACGATGAATACAAAACAGTTAACAAAGACCCAAACTGCTGTGTATACCAGAATGTTGCGGATTATTTTGCATTCCAAGGTTTTGTGTAGCGTTAAAGACTGCAGTGCTCTGGCTACCACCTGCTTCGACAAACAAGCGTTTAGCCAGTTCCATCATGTAATGTGCATGAGCTTCTGACGGCTGATTGGGAGAATTTGGTACAAGTTTTCGCCTAAAAGATAAAAAACGGTTTACAACAGTATTAGGAATATAGATAAAAGGCTTTTTTGCAGCAGGCAGTAATCAGCTTAGAGCAAATCTTACCTTGGATTTCGGAAGTAAGAAGAACCTAATTCGACAGCACGAAGTACAGTTAAAACAGGTGCATCGGTTAAAGAGTCACTTCTTCTTGATGTGCAATGAGAAGGAGAAGCAGAACCCGACCCTTCACCAGAAGCAGAACGGCTTTCCTAAACAACAGTTCAACGATATAATAAAGTAATTAATTAGCTAGAGTGAACAAGCAACCTGTTTAAAGAAGAAACTTTCTGAAAGAACTGCGCGAAACTACCAGCATATTCGTACCGTTTTTTAAAAACATTACGGATACACTGATTGAAAACTTACTAGAGCAGCTCCATAATCTTTCACGCAGCTGCTGTCCTCCGATGTACCGTCCGTACCGTCCTCCGAGGCATCATTTTTTCGCGAACTAGACGTTCTAAAACCTCCCAAAAAAAGTAAGAAAATTGAAAAATATTTTCTTATCTTTAAAGAATCGATACTTCAAAATCTAGTCAAAACAATGAATCGGGATAAGACTAAAACACTAACTCAGCATCACCCGTGGACGTTGAAAAAGCTTCCATTAAACACGACAGTTCACCTTCCACACTTTTTTGAGCCATGTTCCGTGAATTAGACATAGATGGGCCGCCATTATCACCTGTCAAGTGAACACTGACAAATCCATCAGGAACGTCTGTAACACTTGTGATTGCTGCTGAACTTTGATGACTGCCAGCGCATCCACTTTCAAATAATTGAAAAATATTGAAAAGAAGACATTTTTGTACGTCAAATAGGTTCCGAACTTAACAGTAGGTACTTCTGAAAAAGACAAACCACATTGCTGCGGAGCATTTTCCTTCAACCACTGTGCATCCTGCCCATGAGGGGGAAACTTAGGGCGCTGCCCAGAAAAATGTCGGTTATGCGTTACATCTTGTTCGATAAAATATGCCGCGTTTGACAAATGGTCCCTAAAAAATTTCCATTCAGAAACAGCTACAAAATCCATTCCAACTCTTGAAATAAAAAACATACGTTCTACTAAAAGTTAAAAACCGGACTAATAGTCTTAAGAACCAACTTGTACATCCGATGCATTCTAGGGTCGAGCAGACCGTCAAGAACAACGGCCAAATTTTCAAGTGAGTCCTTGTACCTGGAAAAATTGTTGAGAAGTATATTTCTTATTGCTTTACAAGTCAAGTCAAAAACAACTTTTTGGCAAAGAGCGGCAATAAATAAGGTGACCGATAAGGATTTGCCTGAACCAAAAAGAACCAATATACTATAAAATTCAATAAAACTCGCATAATAAAGAAGAGAAGTAACATACCTCATCAACATGGTAAGTGCAAGTTCGCCACGCTGTCGTCGAGTGCTTTCACACAACATAGGATAATCTGCTTCAGAAACCATTAGTTTCATGTTCAGTACTTCCAATGCAACTTTAACAGAGAGCTCCTCGTCATTAGGGTAACGTTGAACATTTCGACGCGTTGGAACAACAAAGCCATACCGGC